GTGTCCTAATAATTTTTGAGATACATATATGTAAGAAAATATATACTGCATTTTGGGAATTTTAAAATCCAAGTAAGAATTTTCAGCCCACCAGATGAGCACAACGTGAACAGGTATATACAGGTTGGGTATACCTGCTGGTGTTTGTAAAACTAGAATTCTAGGAATTTTGAGTGGGTGGATTGCTTGAACATAGGCATTGGACAACATTCTCAGTCAGAGTGAAACTCTGTCTGTACCAAAAATAGAAAAAATTAGTTGGGAATCTGGCAGACACCTGCACTCCCAGCAACTTGGGAAGGGGGCACAAGAGTATTTCTTGAGCCCAGGTAATTGAGGTTGCTGTTAACTATGATACCACAGCACTCTATCTAGGGTGACAGAAACTGTATCTCAGAAATATATAACTACATAAAATGAAATAAGGAAAAAAATAATAAGGAAAGTGTGTTCTACTTAAGGACCACAGACAATCACCCTTCTGAAAATAGCATGGTTCATACGAAAGTAAACTTTTTCTTCAAAAGAAAAATAGTGACACCTGAATTAATTCTACTGGCTCTTCAGGGCTTTTCTAAAGATAGTTTATGTCTCCCATGAGTGAGAGTGCTGAAGGGAATGGTACTATAGTTTATAAAATAGACTGGGCGTATTGAAACAAAAGGTAAAATATTGTTACTGCACCAGAGAAACTCCAATACAACAGACAGATTCAGGTCTAGCAAGCGATTACAAGGTCTTAGGAGAAAATGTGGGGAAAATGCTTCAGCTAGAAAATATCCACACAATTCCACAGAAAAAACACTTTTAGAATGTATATGAAGTTCCCCAAGTCTTTAGTACAATTTGTGTCAGAATCCTGTGAGATAAAGCCACATCATAGATTTTCTGAAAGGTACCTTTTATGATCCTCAAAAATCAGTGAAAGATTACAAAATGTACAAAATATTAAGGTAACATAACCCAAAGAAACAAAATAAATAATATGGAATCAACAGTAAAAAAACAGAGATGTCTAAATTACCTAAAAATTTTACCTTAAGCATGGTAAATGTGTGAAACGGAAAGGATACAAACAACTAAGTAAAATCACAAAAATGGAGATATCAACAAGAAATAAAAGCTTTAGGCCAGGCATGGCAGCTCACCCCCTATAATCCTAGCACTTTGGGAGTTTGAGGCAGGTGGATTGCCCTGAGTTCAGAGGTTCAAGATCAGCCTGCGCCAAAGGGAGCCTGGCGTCTCTACCAAAAAAAGCCAGGCAGTATCATGAGTGCCTATAGTCCCAGCAACTTGGGAGGCTGAGGCAAATCACTTAAGCCCAAGAGTTGGAGGTTGCTGTGAGCTATGACACCACAAACTCTACCCAGGGCCGCAAAGTGAGACTCTGTCTCAATAAAAAAGAAAATAAGAAAATAAATAAATAAGAAAAAATAAGAAAATGAAAAAAATCTTTAAACTAAGACAATTGAAAAAAAAAATTTTAAAGAAGAAATAAAAGCTTTAAAAATACAAAAATTGTGCAGTTGACTAACACAGTGGAAAAACTGAGAAATTTTCAAAGTTAAGAAAAAAGATACAGAATATTAAGAAGCTCACCACACTTCAGTTAGGAGAAACACAAAAGAGACCCAGAAAAAGACACATGAAGATCAAAGATTTGAAAGACACACAAGAGAATCTTGAAAGCCACAAAAGGAAATACATGTATCATCTCTGAGCATACTCTTATGAGATTAATAGTAGATTTATCGACACAAAGCTTCTGGATCAAAAAAGAGTTGGATGATATAGTTAAAGTGCTGAAAGAACAAAAATTTCAAAACATATATTCTATATCCAGCAAAATTTTCCTTGAAAATGAAGAAAAAAATAAACATTTATCAAGATAAATAAATGCTGAAAATTGCCAAACAAGAAATGTCAAAGGAAACCCCTTTCTTGGAAAATAAAATTATGCTATACAACAATGCTAAATTAGCTAAAAACAAGTAACTCTAAACAAAATAACTAAGTACACTTAAGTAAAATTCTGTATTTTTATCATGATAGTGTGGAAAACACTTTTAATCATGCTTTAAAATTTAAAGACAAAAACAGAATCCCTTTTATTTTTTGAGGCAGAGTCTCAAGCTATCGTCCTGTGTAGAGTATTGTCGTGTCACAGCTGACAGCAACCATCAACTCTTGGGCTTAAGCAATTCTCTTGCCTGAGCCTCCCATGTAGCTGAGACTATGGGCACCCATCACAACACCCGGCTATTTTTTGGTTGTATTTGTCATTGCTGTTTGGCAGGCCCAGGCTAGATTCCAACCTGCCAGCTCCGGTGTATGTGGCTGGCACCCTAGCCACTTGAGCCATAGGCGCTGAGCCCAAAAAACAGAATCTTAACATGAAACTTGTTAATGGGTATAGGTGTTCAATGTAACAAGATGAAATTGATGACATCAATAAGTTGAAAGTAGAAATATTTTATAAAATTATGTAATGAATATTTTGTAAATAATGGTATATTTGGTTACAATTTCCTATTTTCCCGACATGTGTATGTATGGCAAATTTTAGCATATGCTGTATAGCTAAAACCTAAAAGAAATTGACTCAGGACAGGTGATGTACTTTAAACAAGTAAAAAGAACTATATAAATACAAAACAAAATTAAAGGAAAATTTAACCCATGAAATTAAAAAAAAAAACATGCTACATAACTAAAGTAATGTAAATTGCAATCATTTGTTTTTCTGAGACAGTCTCATTCTGTTGCCCCAGGCTAGAGTGCTTTAGCATCACAGTTCACAGCAACCTGAAACTCCTGAGCCTAGGAGATCCTTTTGCCCCAGAATCACCAGTAACTCAGACTACTGGCACCCGCCCCATTTTTCCATTTTGTTAGCAGGGATGAGGTCTCATTCTTGTTTAGGCTTGTCTAGAATTCCTGAACTCATGTGATCCAAACACCTCTGCTCCCAGAGTGCTAGGGCTATTGTCACAAGCCACAACACACAGCCCATAACTGCCATTTAGAAGGATAACTTGCAAATACATGAGAAGCACAAATTCTGAATCTTTAGTATACAGTTATGGCAATAACATTTTAAACACATGTTGATAAGAAAATATTAAGTATTGGGGTTTAACACTAGAGAAACATCATTTTAATGTGAATGACATATTGGTGCTCTCCTTACACAAGAGAGGCTATCATTCAGCTTTCAGAAGCAAAGAAAAGCCTTACATTCTGCAAAGTTTTGGATATTATAATAAATGGTGCAAAACTGGCATATGAAATGAACAATTAGAAATAAATTATATTGTCATTCAGTTAAAAGTTAATAACAGAGGGCAGAGTTTGTGGCTTAAAAGGGTAGGGCACCATCCCCATATGCTGGAGATGGCAGATTCAAACCCAGCTCTGGCCAAAAAGGGCAAAAAAAAAAAAGTTAGTAACAGATGATGAAAAAGCTACTGTTTGATGCAACAAACTAAAACATACAAAACAAATTATTATAAAAAATAGGGGCTGCATACTAATTATCTAATTAAGCTTTTATAAATCATGTACCTTCAAGCATGTTATTTTAGAACTACTGAAATGTTTCTACTAACACCCGCACAATATAAAATGATATAACTTGTCACATTTATAACGAATTAAAAGCTGGACTTGGTGGCTAATGCCTGTACTCCTAGCCCTCTGGGAGGCTGAGAAAGGGAGAATGCTTGATCTCAGAAGTTCAAGACCAGCCTGAGAAAAGAGACCCCCCATCTCTAATAAAAATAGGGCCAGTGAGGTAGCTTACACTACTAATCCTAGAACTCCAGAAGGAAGAATCTTGTGGATTACCTGGGCTCAGAGGTTGGAGACCAGTCTGAGCCAGACCGAGACCCCATCTCTAAAAATAGCTATGTGTATAGTCCCAGTTACTTGGGAAACTGAGGCAAGACAATCACTTAAGCCAAGAGTTGGAGGTGGCTGAGTTATGATGCCACCGCAGTCTACCAAGGGTGACAAAAGTGAGACTCTGTCTCAAAAAAATAAAACAGGCTCAGCGCCTGTGGCTCAAGCGGCTAAGGTGCCAGCCACATACACCTAAGGTGGCAGGTTCGAATCCCCAGCCCAGGCCCGCCAAACAACAATGATGGCTGCAACCAAAAAATGGCCAGGCGTTGTGGCGGGC